GGGTGTGTGGTGGGGGTCACATCCACCTTAAACCTGCAGGGTAAGAAGGTGAGGGTGGAGATTGCAGCAATGGCCCCAGGCTTGGGAGGTCACAGGCCCTCATTAGTGGATGTGTGGGGTCCTGGGACATTGGGAGGCAGCTCTGCTGATGGCAGTTTCTCAATTTCTAGTAGAAAACACCCCTTGGCCCTCGCGCTCCCCCACCAGGCATCCTGGGATGGGTCTGTCCAGTGAGGTCCCTGGGGAGGGCTGTGGGAGGGCATCTGGGCCAGGCTGTTGGCTGGGAGAAAATGTAGGTGCCTCTCCCCGGCACCCCATTCTGGCTTCCTGCCTTCCAGGAAAGGGCAGAGGGGGGCCTCCCTGGGTGCCCCCTTGGGTCCCAGAGCCACCTGAGGAGGGGAGGCCTGGTCTACCCTTGGCCCAGCTGGCTACTGGTCTCCCTCAGGTCTGGGTCAGCTGGCCTGGCCCCTGGTATGGACAGGGTCTGCTTGCCTCCTGGGCTTCTGGCCTTCCCAGTCTCCAGAGATTTGGGACCTGCATGGGGGGCCCTGGAGGACTGGATGGTTAGTCTGTGGTTTTCCCAACAGAGGGTCTCATGGCTGCCCCTGCTCCAGACAGAGGCCCCTGGAGGCAGAGGGAACCAGTGTCAAGACCCCTGGAAGACCCTGCCGGCCCCCAAGGCTCTCCCAGGCCCACTCAGCCCGGGTGCCCACGAGCAGCTCCTCTCCTGTCTTCCTCTCCCGGGCTGCCGGCCCCTAGCCCTCCTCCGAGAGCCCGAGCCAGCACCGGTCACCAACAGCTTGAGATCTGGGAAAAACCCTTGGTCCGTGGCTTTAGGGGCTGGGGCCAAGGATGGACTCTCAAAACTGGGCCCACTCAGTGGGGGGCTAAGGGTGGCCCACCCAGCTCCCCCTTGTCAGCCCCAGCGAAGCTCCCTTGCACCTGGGCAGCTCCCCAGGCATCTCCAACTTGAGCGGCCCCTGACAGAGGAGGAGGGGACATGATCATCATCCTCCAGGCCACAGTGGGGCCAGCCCCTGCCTCCCCACCTCACATGCTCCCCTCTCCCAACACAAAGGGGCCTACGAAATGAACGGAGCAAGCGGACTTCGGAAAACACCAGGGCCTCCCCGCTCCTCCCACGCCTCATTAAGACCTGACCACCGCCAACCAGAAAACCAAGGTCACAGCCAAGTGTGCGTGGGGGGCCAGGGGGCGGGGAGGGGGGCGCGGCAGTCATGAGGTTCCCTGTGAATGCGGTCACTCCACGTGGTTCCAGCACTGCCCCTTCCTCTGAGGCGGAGGCCTGGCAGTAGGACGGGGTTGGTGGATTCCGCCAAGCATGTGATCTAATTGCGCCCCGCCCAGCGGATGCTGAATGGAATCCATTCACGTGTGCTGGACCTGCTGCCAGTTTTATGGCTCTGGGGTTATATAAACAGCGGGAGGAGAGTACAGGGAGTCAGGGCCAGGGGCCCACCAGGCCTGGGCTCCCCCTTCTTTCCCTCGGCCACCTCTCGGGCTCAGGGCAGCCTCCAGGCTCTGCTCAGACACAGACAGCCTGAAAGAGGGAGAACCCAACCAGAGAGGGGGAAGGGAACTTGGATGTCTGGACAGTTCAGCCACTGGGCTGGCATGAACATTTAACTCCTGCTTGCTGGGGTGATGAAAGCCCAGACCCCATGCCAGGGTCTCTGATGCTCAAGCCCCCCCAGGGCCCCTAGTTTTCATTTCCAAGGGACCATCCTGGCCCCCCATCATGTCTCTGGTTTAGAAGCTAGAGACACAGATGAAAAAGCAGAGGATTGCCGAAAAACGATGATGCTCTCCAGGAGAGAAGGGACCAGCCCTCACTGGGGCTTATACCTGTGACCTCACAGCGAATCGCAAAGCAGGGTCATCAGCCCCATTTTACACCTGAAAACACTGAGGATTGATCCAGTGTCCCGGTAGCCAGGGCACAGCCAGCTCCAAGGCCCTGGCTCTGCCTACCACCAGCTCCTGGGGCCCAGGCCACCTTCTCCAGGAGCACTTCTCTGAAGCAGCCACGACTCTCACGTGGACTTAAGCCAGGCTGGGTCCCTGCATTTCTCTGGTGAGGACTGAGGTGGGGGAGAGGGAGGGGAAGGGGAAGGAGGTGGTAGAGGGGCTCACCCTCGGTAAAGCAGGCACCACCTCCGGCCCCCCACCCCAGTGTGGGAGAAACAGGATCCTTCACCTCACTACAGACGTGCCAGGTGGGGTCAGCATCCCCCTCTGTTTGACGACCTAAGTCGCCAGCCTCCAGAGATGGGACCCTCATCCAGCCCCCCTTCCCCTCCTTCCCCCGATGGTGCCCATGGCTGTCACCTCCAGCGACCAAATGGAAAGTTGCTGCAACTTCAGTGATGGGTGCCCCGGCACAGGCTCAGAGTGGTTCATTAACATGCCCAGGTCACAAAGCCTTTGTGCTCCAGAAAGCTCCCGTGGAACAGTGGTGTCCTGCCAGCTCTGCTGATCAAACTCGTGTGTCGGTATCGAGAATGGAGGGGGTGTAGGTTCAGAAATAGCTACAGCCCTGCCCTTCCCTGCTTTACACTTCAATCCCTAAACCTTTAAGTGGTGCAGGGCGAGGTGAGTGACTGTGTCAGTGGGAATTGCAGGTGGGAGGCCACTCAGAACCAGAGTGGGATAGAGAGGGAGTCCGGGATGGGGGTGGGGCAGCCCAGGGGAGGGCATTGGAGCCCAAGTGAGGTGGGGGAGCATCAACTCGGGCATTACAAGTATGGAAAGGGGGAATACCAAGATGAACGCTGTGGACCTGGACCCTCAGGGGTATTTGGCGATGTTGCTGTGAAAGTGTGTCTTTCAACATACTTAGATGGACGTTGGAAGAAACCTGTATGTGAGTGTGGTACACACATGTGTCTTCTAATTCTGTCCATTGAGGGACCAGGAGCAGTGGCATCTCAATGGCTGAGCACACACCCAGGGCCCAGATCTTGGTCTCTATGACTAGTCTCCCACTGGAAGGACCCAGGGCTCCTTGGAGAAATGATTGATTCTGGAAAATTACAGGATGAGCTAGGAACATCTAATTGCGCAGGAAAGCAAGGAAGTGCTCAGAGAATGATGGGGACGCAGCACAGGACACAGGAGCCAGCTGAAGGGGCTCTCAACGTCCAAGTCTGGGAAATTTGAGCATCAGAATAACTAATGATAGTAATGGATGATAACCCATTGAATACAATAGTAATGGATGATAACCCATTGAATACAATAGGAAACTAGGATGATAACCCATTGAATACAATAGGAAACCACAGTGGTATTTAGTACGTTGCAAGTTTGACAAGGAGCAGGACAGTTAGTTTCAAAGTACCTCCCCACAAACCACTCATTTTTTATAAAGGAGAAAGATGTAACTTTAACGTAACTATCTAATCAAGCAATCAGAGAGAACATCACCAGTAATGGGACAAATCAAAATCATTCGGCACCTGATAGGATTCAGTGGAAACACAGCAGCACATCCATGATATTCCTGCCAAAGAAACGTAACTTGAATTTCATCATGGGTGTGGGTAGGCAGAATACTGGCTCCCCACAAAGATGTGCACCCCTTAATCCAGGGAACCTTACATGGCAAAAGGGACTTTGCAGCTCTGATTAAGGTTACAGACCTTGCGATGGGGAGATTATCCTGGATTATCCGGATGGACTCAATCTAATCACATGAATACTTAAAATTGGAAAACTTTTCCTGGCTGGGTCAGAGATGTGAAGTGAGAGGGAGTTGACCCCCTTACCCTGTTGCCAGATTTGAGGTTGGAGGAAGGGGGCCATGAGCCAGGGAATGCAGCCTCTAGAAACTGGGAACGGGCCTCAGTTTTCAGCTGGCAAGAAAACGGGGGCCATGGTCCTACCACCCGAAGGAACTGAATTCTGCCAGCTACCCAATGAGTAGGAAATGGAGTCTGAACGAGGGTTTCCAGAAAGGGGGCGACCTGCTCGCATCTTGATTTCAGTCCGGTGAGATCCATTCTGGACTTCTGACCCCCAGAACGGTAAGAGCAGATTTGTGTTGGTTAAGCTGCTAAATTTGTGGTGATTTGTTACGACAGCAATGAAAAACTAATATAATGAGGAGACATCAGACAAACTCCAATTGAGGGACACAGGGCTACTTACTAAGTACATTGAAAGAACGCAAAATTCGTAAGATCAACAGCTAATTAGAAAAATGGGCAAAAATGAATAAGCATTTCAAGAAGAAATGTGAATGGACAGTAAAAATATGAGTAGATGATTAACCTCATTTGTAATTAGGGAGAACAAATTAAAAATCACAGTGAGATTCCATTTTATTCACCAGATTGGCCAAACTGATGATACCATATGTATGTGACAATGGAACTCGCAGGGTCGAGTTCCTTGTGCTCCAGGCCCGGAAAGACACAGCTCAGGATCCCAGGTCCACAGGAGGATTAGCGGGGTGCTGGGACAGGTGACCGGCCGCCCGGCCCCGCCCCGCATGCCCTACCCTGCAGACCCAGCCCCCACCTCTCATTGGTTTGCGCCTCGCCAAGCCCCGCCCCCTGGCCTCGCCCTCCCGCCTTCCCCAGGCCCCGCCTCCTCAGGCTCCGCCCAGGACCGCCTCTCGTCTTGAGCGCCTTGCCCGAGCCCCGCCTCCTTGTCGTCACTTCCGGGAAGAGGAGCCCACGGAAGGCGGAAGTGTGTGTGCCAGGGCGGCTGCGAAGCCGGGCTGAGGTGTTCCTGGCTGGCACCCCGCGGCTGCTCCGGGTCTGGGCGTGGGGACACGAGGGTGCTCAGCGAGAGCCAGCGGGGAACGAAGCCATGAGGCGGCCGCGGGGTCTGGCGGGGTCTGGAGGTTGACTGCTCCCGCCGCCTTCCCGCGAGGCCGCCTCCTCCAGGCAGCCACCCGTCCCCCTCAGGGTCTCGCGCCCCGCCGTCGTCCCGGCGCCTTGGACTGGGGCTCCCGGGCCCCCAGCCCCCACGCTATGACTGCGGCCGCCGCCTCCAACTGGGGGCTGATCACGAACATAGTGAACAGCATAGTAGGTGTCAGTGTCCTCACCATGCCCTTCTGCTTCAAACAGGTGAGTCCAGTGGGCAGTGGTCGCCGCCCTCGCCGCCCCGGGCTCATCCCCTCACGGGAAATAGGGCTGGGGGAGGCGGCCCTGCAGCTCTTCGCCTCGGGGCTGCAAGAGAAACCGAAGGAATTTCCTCAGTGAAAAACTTAAGCACAATTAATAACAGACCGAAGTGCAAGTGTAGCAAAAGAAAATGATCTTTCAAAAATGGAAAGTGACCACAGGATTCAGTGTTCTTTTTCTTTACTATTATTTTTTAAAACTCTGACCTGACTGCATTTGTATTCAGAAGCACACAAGTCAAACCCCCAGGCCTTGGAACTAGATTGGGGTGTTGGTTACAAGGTGATTACTAAATTCTCCAGAGTGTACGCTTAAGATCTCTGCGTTTCACTGTATGCCAATGTTACCTTGATTGAAAAAATCTGAAATGTTAAAAAGTTGGTTTCATCCCAACATTAAATACTGCGTGAAAGAAACTCACCATTTTTGAGGTGTGAATTCATTTGGCTTCTGTTTAATTCACAAATAGACAGGCATTTGGTACGTTAGAAAAGGGAGATTGATGGAATTATCAAATTGGGTAACCTCTTTCCAAAAAATGAACTTCTTAGCTTCCTGTGTGCCACGGTGGAGGTGCCGCTCCACCTGCCTCCTAGGGCAGGAGCTGTCCACCACCTGGGTTGCTTAAGGCTGGGGGAGGAGGAGTGGGACACCAGAGAAGAACAGGTGGCCAGCAAGGCTTCAAAGACCAGTCTTATGTGATGAAACCAAATAGGTGGAAAAAATGAAAATAAGATGGATATTTTGGAACTGAAAATGGGCACCAGTCGTTTAATTTTAGATTAACACTTTGCATTTTTCATATTTAGCATCTTTTGGATAAAAATAGCAAAAAGAAAGAAAATGCGTTTACGGTTCCCATGTGAGTGGTTGATCCGACTTGGTTGGTGAGCATGTTGGCAGGAGGACGGAGACTGCAGGCCTATGTGGTAGGCCACGCTGGCGGCTTCTAGAAGCCCTGGGGCAACATCTGTATCTCGGTATGTGAATCCCAGTGTGAGCCGGCCACCTCTGTTTCTGGAAGGACTACATGTCCCAGTGTGCATTGCGACTTGCCTGGCGCAGAACTGCATCCTGGGATGTGTAGTTGGCTGGTCCTGTGTTTGTAAATGCCGTGCTGTCATCCTTGATGCCTGTCTGCCAAGTGCCACCATGGTAGGGCTCTGGTGATTCAGATTTGAGTATCTGCCATGTGCTGGGCACGAGGCCCCTGCCAGTGCATTTAAACATGGGCCAGGCTGACTTGCCTGGGGAAGAGCTTAGAGGTGGGGGTCTGCATGCAAGCCAAGACCTGGAAGTGGTTTGCCCTGCCCCGAGGGCCTGGCTGAGTTAGGACACTCTCTCACTCATCTCTCAGCATCTTCTCCGGGTGAGGCCAATGGGCAATTTGGAGATGTGTGTTTTGATCTAGCAGCCAGGTCATTTATGCTTTTTTTTTTTTTTTTTTCCCTTTTTGCGGTACGCGGGCCTCTCACTGTTGTGGCCTCTCCCGTTGCGGAGCACAGGCTCCGGACGCGCAGGCTCAGCGACCATGGCTCATGGGCCCAGCCGCTCCACGGCACGTGGGATCCTCCCGGACCGGGGCACGAACCCGTGTCCCCTACATCGGCAGGCGGACACTCAACCACTGCGCCACCAGGGAAGCCCAAGCCAGGTCATTTAAAAAAAGTTTTGGTTTGCGTTTTTTGTTTGTTTGGTTTTAGTAATTTGGGTACTTTTCCAAAAGAATTAACATTTTATTGAAGTGTAACATGCATACAGAAAAGTGGACATATTTTAGGTGTACTCTTGATGGATTTTCATAACGTTAACAAACACAGGTAGCCAGTTCCCAGCTTAAGGAGCATAGCATTGCCAGCACTCTCCAGCCCTGCCTTCTTACTGAGGGTCCCCCTCCTACCCCCAGTACCACAGGTCAGTGTTGCCAGATTTTAACTTTACGTGAATGGGTCATGTTATAGGTACATTTCGATGTCTGGCTAGCATTCCTCAATTTATCTGTTTTTTAACCTTTACTAGGAAGGCATGGTGTTTCCTATTTGGAGTGCTTAGGAACTTGTGCACAGGCTTTGACCCCCGTGGACGCATTCTGTGGGGTGGTGACCTGCGTGCAGGAGAGCTGGGTCGTGGGCTGTGTGTGTGTTCCGCTCTGCTAGATGCTAGTAGGACAGTTGGTTGTTTCTTCAGTTTTTGGATTACAGATAAACCTGCTGTAAACATTGGCATGCAGGTTTGTGCATGAACACATGTTTTCATTTCTTTTGGGTAAATACCTAGGAGTGCAATTGCTGGTCAGATGGTGAGTGTCTGTTTAACTTATAAGAAAGGCGTAAATGTCATTTTTAATCTCTTCCTTCCAGAATGTGTTTATCACTCGTAGCTGTTGATCCAAGTGGCTGGAAGGTGGTTTGCTGTAGGGTGTCTGCAGGGAACTGGGAAGACTGGCAAGCCCTTGCTGTTCCTTGAGACTCTGTGAGGGGCTGGGAAGGAACCAGTGTCCCTGGTGCTCTTTTGGGGTCATGCACAGGCTTTATGTCTTTGGACAGAGCCTGTGGCCACCACATCCAGGAAATTGTCCTTTTAGTGCTAGGAACCGCTGCCCATAGGCACGGGAACTAAACAGAGCTGGGGCCTCGTGTCTAGGGGGCGGGGGCTGTGGGGAGGGCTGTTGGTCATCGCACATGCTGTTCAGTGTGAGAGGTAAAGATGCCGGGTAGTTTTATTTTGTCAACATCTCTTTCTCTCCCAACCCTACAGTGTGGCATCGTCCTGGGGGCCCTGCTCTTGGTCTTCTGTTCTTGGATGACGCACCAGTCGTGCATGTTCCTGGTGAAAGCCGCCAGCCTGAGCAAGCGGAGGACCTATGCTGGGCTGGGTGAGTGCATCGCCTCCCCAGGGAGCTCTGGACCTTTCTCAGTACCTTCTTAAGAAGTGCAGTGGTTTGGGCCTTATTCTTTTTTTTTTTTTTTTTTTTTTTTTTTTTGGCCGTACATGCGGCACGTGGGATCTTAGTTCCCCAACCAAGGATTGAACCTGTGACCCTTGCATTGGAAGCGTGGAGTCTTAAACACTGGACTGCCAGGGAAGCCTCTGGGCCTTATTCTTTTAATTACTTTTCTTCCACTTTATTCTTTATTCCTTTGAACAGCAGTTTCTTATTTTAAAATTTAATGCAATTAAAAAAAAACTGTTAACATCAACACACATTTTAAAATTGAGGTGATACTCATTCTCCTGTCTCCCCTTTATGCAAGTCCACACAGAGAGCCCTCTCTCAGTTCAGGCAGCCTCAGCAGCCTCCGCTCCTGTGCCCAAGAGTCCCCAGAACCTTCCTTCTGAGCTGCCTGACTGGGATCTTGCTGCACATCCCCACTTTGAATGCCATGGGCACACTGTCCTTGGGCTCGGGTTTGTGGCTGGGAGCAAGTCACCGTCTCCTCAGTGCCGTCCTCTGTTTCCTGTTGTTGTTGGTTGCAATTTCGTTTCCTCTAGATCTTTCTTGCTTCCTCTGATTTCAGCCGAGGCAGAGAAGGCTGTGCTTTCCGCCTCCTTTCAGTTTGACTATTTCCTGGGAAACTTGGCTCTGAGGGCAGGGTCCCTCACTCTCCTGCCCACCTCAGGGTGATGTGTGCAGGCTGCATTCTCTCCACTGCCTTGGAACTTTCAGCTCTGCACTCCATTCTGGGGATACATGGTGTGGGTGTTGAAATACCAATGCACGTGGTCTCAGGAGCTGGCCCTGAGCACTTCTAGGGAAAATTCCTGTCCTCCGGCTGGAAGTCCCTGACCCTCCAGCTAGTGTGTGGCCAGGATGCTGCGTCTGCTCGTGGAGGGCCTGGTTGGGTACTCAGCTTACAGCTCTCACGGCAGAGAGGAGGCAGCAAGAGGAAATGGTGTGCAGAGTTCCAGGGGCCAAACAAAATAAAAACACCTGCAGGCCCCACATGTGGGCTTTTGGCAGCGTGACCTCTGGTTTCCTTCCAGTCTGCCTACTTTGCATTGGCATGGAGGTACTTGCATTTGTTCTGACCTCAAAACTGAAGGGCTACTTGCTTCTCTCTCCGTTCTGATGAGAATGGTGATGTCAGACCTTTTTTTTTCTTTAAGTTTTGTTTTTTTTTTAAGTAATCAATTTATTTATTTATTTTTGGCCGTATTGGGTCTTTGTTGTTGTGAGCAGACTTTTCTCTGTTGCAGCGAACAGGGGCTACTCTTCGTTGCAGTGCGTGGGCTTCTCACCGCGGTGGCTTCTCTTGTTGCAGAGCACAGGCTCTAGGTGCGCGGGCTTCAGTAGTTGTGGCATGCGGGCTCAGTAGTTGTGGCTCTTGGACTCTAGAGCACAGGCTCAGTAGTTGTGGCACATGGGCTTAGTTGTTCCATGGCATGTGGAATCTTTCCGGACCAGGGCTCGAACCCGTGTCCCCTGCATTGGCAGGCACATTCTTAACCACTGCACCACCAGGGAAGTCCCTGTCAGACTCTTATTGCTATTGGAGTCACTTGGGGAAGTGAAATTTATCAGCTAAATTTGCGCCCCGCCCCACCCCACACATGAGACCAAATTCTACTTGGGATGAAATGTGCTCCTGGGCAGGTTCCTTCCTCCGTCTGTGGGGCCATGGCCTTTAGGGTGACTCTTTCTCCCCACTGAGGGTTCCTGTAGCAGACATCCCACGAAGTGCTTGGCTGTGCCCTGAAGGAGGACGGGTGACCCTGGCCTCGGGAGGCCGTGGTTTTTGACAGCTGTCTGTCTGCGTATTCTTAGAAAGTCCCTGAGAAGGCAAACGGTTTGGCTATTGTGAAAGATTGAAGAAAACTACCCATGGTAGTTCTGCATGGCTGGCTGGGGCTCCTACCTTTAACTGCTTGTGGTGACTGCAGCCCAATTCTAACTGCTAGAAGCAAAAAGGATCAGAAACCACCAGTGGTCTCTGGTTATGTCTTTGGTACCAAACAAGATGGCTCAGTTGTGTGAACTCCCACAGTCCCACAAGCCCAGCCTGCAGCATGAGCTGCCCTTCATCTTGGCTCTGTCTTGGCACAGTCTCAGAAATGGACAGGCCCCACCGCTTGGAAAGGAGCCCTAGACAAGAAGAGATGGGAATCTCTCGGACCCTGTGGGCCAGCAACCCTCCCACACTTCCTGAGCCATCTCCTGCTGCCTGCAGGCCTTTCTCTTGTCCTCTGCCTTCTCCTGGCCCAGAGCTTGCGCTGCAGCCAGAGAAGGTGGCCCAGGAGCAGAGTGCTCACTGCATCCTCGTGCCGCAGGCCCGGGGAAATACAGTCTCTGTCAACAGGGCCCCCAACACATGTTGTCTGCTGGGCCCATGGGCATCAGGCAGGTGGGGTCAAGGAGATGGACAGACCTGGAGACAGTGCAGGCCATGGTGCAGAAATTCCTAGAAAGGCCGTCGCAGCTTGAACAAATAACCTTTTTAAACTGTCCGCGCTCCGAGGAACGGGTGGGTGGTTTTCTAGCGTTTGAGTTTGCGATACTTCTGTTTGGTTCATCCCTGGAAATAACCATAGCTCTGCTCACTCCGCTCTAGCCAGTGCGTAGGCATCGCTGGAGAATGAACTTTGCCAATTTGGGGAAATAAACACTGGTGGATTTTTTATTGGTGTTTTGTGTGTGTTTTTGTGGTGTCTTGTTTGCTGCTTATGGGCTGGTCCACTTCTTACCTGCTGCTCCTTTGCCCTGCATGGCCTACTTTTGAGTGGACTTTTCAAACCCCATTTTCAGAAGATATACAGCTATGTCAGATAGTCAACTGCCCCTAGAAGTCGTGGCCCCCTTGAGGCCACTCTGACCCGGGCTCTGCCCGAGGAGGGTGGCCGGGCCTCGCCGCCACCTCGGAGTGCTCAGTTGTGCGCAGCAGGTGCTCTGGCACCACGTCTGTGGTCCTGTCATCCGCCTGCCTGGGTTTCTGTGGTCCTGGTCAGCCTACTGCCCGCTCATGGGTTGGGTGGGGCCTGCAGAGGACCTGTCCCTCCCTGCCTGTCTGCAGTTGTGTGACCTGTACCTGTGGATACTTGGCTTGGGAAATGAGGGTCGTAAAACCAACCTTTCTAACACCCAGGTTTCTCTGCACCCCCTACCCCTCATTTATCCAGCAAATGCTCATCACCCCCTGGCGGATGGCAGTGGGGAGTCAGCTGCCATCCAAGGCCTGGCTCTGGGGAGGGCTGGGTTGAGGTCGTCACTCTCAGCTTGAACAGCACGATTTGGTACGTGCTTCCCCGCTCTGCCTGGTGGGTAGGAGGCTTTGGACTGTGGGTGGTGAGTATGGGAGTGGGGCTGGGGTCCCGCACTCAACGAGGCGGGCTAAGAGTCAGTTCTGTGTGCACAGCGGCCATGGAGCCGTGAGCGAGGCCATGGCCCCAGGAGGACGAGCTGAGCCAGCGTCTCTGGGGAGACTGGAGAGCCCCCTCCTGACACCAGTCCTGGCTCCGCACCTGGTGGGAGTGCCGGCTCCTGGCCCCCGTGAGGCCTGGCCCGTGAGCCACAGCGAGCCTATCACAGATGGAGAGGGAAGGCCCGACCCAGGAGCATGGGGAAGGGACGCACCTTCTCAGAGACCACCCCGCACACTCCTCCCAGCCTCTCGGGGCAGGTCTGGTGCTGCGGTTCCGGCCCAGAGGGGCAGAAGGGCAGTCCCCGGCTTGCCAGGCAAGAGGCTGAGGGCCGGGGGGCTGCCAGGTATTTGTATCTGTGACTCGGAATTAGAGGTTACTGAGGGATGGACACTTGAAATGGTGGGTGGGGTGTGTGGGGGGCTGGCCCAGGTGAGGAAAGGGTGAGAACGGGGCTGGAACCACAAGCCGTCTCAGCACAAGCAGCAACTTGGGGGCAGCCCCGTGAGGGTGTCGTTCTAGGAACCAGTCAAGTCTTTCTGGGTGAAGAGGTGCCACCTCCCGACTTGACCTCTGGCTTCCTAGAGCAACTTTAGCTTCCTCTGTCCAGAATGCAGGTGTGTTCTGGAACTTTCTCTGGCAGGGCGCTCTGAGCATTTGGAATACGCTGAGATGCTCAGCTTCTTTTTGGAGAAGGAAAAGGAATGGGATGGCTGGACCCCAGGCACTTTCACGTTTGGGGCACCGGGCTCTGTGTCTTAGATAACCCTGAGGTGCGAGTGTCTGTGCAGTAGTCAGACAAGCTGGGAGGCTGGAGTGACCTCCCCAGCAGAGTGACCCCCTTTGCTTCTCAAGGCCACCTGCCCTGTGGCTGTGTAGACCGAGTCAGGTGCCATGCTCACTTGCTTTTGGCAGTGTCATGCCTTTTCCTAAGTAATTTGAAAGTAACAAGCGTCTTTGGACTCATTGATATCAGTCGGCCTTCATGTTCCCTACTTTCCCAGTCTCCTGGGCGTCCCTGGCGCTGTGTGAGGGAGGGACAGGGGCAGGAAGCTGGGGCTGTGCTGTCACACGCACCCCCTTCTGCTTGCTCCTGGGAGACCAGAGCTTCTCTCTGCCCTCGTCCTGCTGGACTGTGGGGATGGGACGCAGGGGTTCCCGGCCACTGTTAGGTCCTGGGAGGGACCTGCTGAGTCAGCTCTTAATCTCGCCTCTGCTAGAAGCAGCTCCACTGTCAGGAAGGAAGGGCAGAGGGGCTCCTCTCCGCTGTAGGACGCGCTGTTCACCAGCAGGGCAAGTGGGGGCAGGCCCGAATGCACTTGTCCCCTCCTGTCCCAAAGTACCACATCTGAGATTTTCTTCTGAAATCACAGAGGAGACATAGCGGCCCTTAGCCAGGTCCCCTTGACGTGGCTGTGAAAACCAGATGTGCTGGGGCTAGGCTGAAAGCCCTCCTGGCACCCCCTACCCCTGTGCAGCTTCTGCCCCAGGCAGGCCTCTTTCAGCCTCCTTCACAGCTGCCCGGCTTGCCCAGAGATAAACTGTTACTTCGCTGGGATGGTTTTTCTTGTCTTTTTTCTTTCCTTTTCTTTTCTCTCCTTTTTTTGTGTGTGTGAGAAAACCAACCCACACTGGTTTTGTTCTTATTTGCTGTGATTCTTGTTGGTTGAAGGTAGATCTGAAAAAGAGCATGGGACCAAGATTTTAAAATATCCCCTTTAGGGCTTCCCTGGTGGCGCAGTGGTTGAGAGTCCGCCTGCCGATGCAGGGGACATGGGTTCGTGCCCCGGTCTGGGAGGATCCCACATGCCGCGGAGCGGCTGGGCCCGTGAGCCATGGCCGCTGAGCCTGCGCTCCGCGACGGGAGAGGCCACAACAGTGAGAGGCCCACATACTGCAAAAAAATAAATAAATAAATAAAATAAAATATCCCCTTTACATCCATGGAACTCCAGACCTGCAGGTTTTTGTCAAATTGCCTTTCACAGCTTTTATTAGTAACATTTTTACTGATGTGCTTCTCCCACTGTTGGACTGAGCTGTTCATTTTCTCCCCCACCCTCCGCCCACTAGCGTTGCACGCCTACGGAAAAGCAGGGAAGATGCTGGTGGAGACCAGGTAGGTGGTGCCATTCTGTTGGGGTAATTCTCTCTGTTCTTCACCTGTGGCCAAAGAGAAACTGGAGGATAGTTACACAATGAGCTGTATGTTTTAGATGCGGATTGGTTCATAGCTTAAAATATTTCTCTGAAGTGTTACTTACTAAATAGCTGAAAGTTCAGTTTATTGTACCCTTAAAATGATTAGTGTCAAGGCTGACAGCCTTATTTAAGTTTTACTAAGAAAAATATAAAAATGGAAAACCCAGGGAACATAGCAAGGGGGCGCTCCCACGGCTGCACTTCATCTCTTGGTTCTGTTCCTGAAGCTCGTACGCACCCCCCACCCTGCCCCCTGCCCCGGACACTGTTGCATAAAAGTGGCATTAAACTCATATTCTCCCTTTGGAGTAAAATTTTATGAGATGAAAAAATGGCTGGGAAATTGCAGTTTTAGGCTTCTAAATTAGGGAATTGCAAACTGAAAAGGATAACCCTTTCTAAAGCAGTCGACTGTTCTTTTAACTTGTCTAACATCACAGTGCATTTTTGTAGCACCTGAAAGAACTTTTAGAACCTCCTGTGGAGAGAAAAATGTAATGCCACTTAAAGAAGAGTTCAGTGTTACTCAGTATTCATTCTGAGTAAAATAGCAAACTCCACAGCCAAACCCTGTAAACCGTTGAATGTTGATACCACGTCTCCCACTCAGCCCCTCCGTTGGGTTGTTGTGTGTCAGCGGCCACCCAGCAGGGATGGGGGCACGTCTGGGGCTCCCCGGGACCCTGGTGCTCAGCTCTCAAGCCCGCGCCTGCCTCCCTTGCAGCATGATTGGGCTGATGCTGGGAACCTGCATCGCCTTCTACGTTGTGATTGGCGACTTGGGGTCTAACTTCTTTGCTCGGCTGTTTGGGTTTCAGGTAAGGACATCTACAGGTGCGTTGGGAGGCTTGTGGCTGCTTGCGTGGCAGCCCAGGGACACTGTTTAAGTCCACATCTCAGACAGGGAGTGGGAGGGGGGCCAAGACCAGCATGCTGTGTGGTGAAGGGCCTTGGGTCAGTTCCAGGGCTCTGGGTGGGCAACGCAGGGATTAAGTGGGGCAACGCCTGGCGCTCCCTGCAGGTCACAGGCACCTTCCGCGTGTTGCTGCTCTTCGCGGTGTCCCTGTGCATCGTGCTGCCACTCAGCCTGCAGAGGAACATGATGGCCTCCATCCAGTCCTTCAGTGCCATGGCCCTCGTCTTCTACACCGTGTTCGTGTTCGTGGTGAGTGTTGGGCCGCCAGCTGCCTTCCAAGGATGACAGGAAGGTGATGCAGAATCGTCCACAGGGGCGCGGTGGGTAGACAGGGCCGGCAGGGGAGAGGAGGCCTCCAGGGCAGGGAGTGAAAGTGTGATGCTCCTCAGTTCACCAAAGACCTTTCATATGGGGTTTGTGGCCAGGAGTCAGGCGGCCAGCCTTTTGTCAGAAGGGGGCGAGCAGCTGTTTTCCAGTGAGTGTTTATCACAGGCTGGGGGTGGGATACAGCATGGAGTTGACACTCAGGGTGCCCCTTTCCTCCCAAGCCTGGGAGGCCCTCAGTGGGAGCCCCTGGGCCTGAGCCCCTGATCAGTCCTGCGGGAGCAGAACGCGAGAATCTGTGCAGTGGGCTTTCCTTAGAAGACCGAGCACCCCGCGGTGTTCCCAGCGTCCCTTGGCCATGAGGGCCAGCCCAGTGACTGTTCCCCTCCTTTCCAGACAGCCTGTCCTTGATGGGTTGTCTTTTTTTTTTTTTGATGGGTTTGTCTTTTAAATCATGTCCGTGCAGGACCGGCAATGACCTGCCAGGTTGGGGGACTGTCCTGTCCCAGAGGCGACTGGGGCCCACCAAGTGGGCCTCGTTGCTTACCGTCTGCGCTAAGCAGCCCTGGACAGGCAGCTGCCCCCTATGTCAGGAGGCCCTGCAGCATGCACTTCTCTGGGCAGCACCCGGCCAGCTTGCAGCACAGCAGAGGGCAGCGGCCCCGGGACCGTGCACCACCCCCGGCCCCTCCAGCTGGTGGCACCAGGCGGCATTGTGCCAGAGCTTGCAGGCTGTCTCTTTCCCACCGTGGTTCAGGCAGCATCCTTTCCTCGGCCGGCCCTGGCCCGAGTCCCGCCTGTGTCTGCTGTCTGGCGCCAAAAAGCTCCACGTTCTTCTCCTCACAGATCATGCTCTCCTCCCTCAAGCACGGCCTCTTCGGTGGGCAGTGGCTGCGGCGAGTCAGCTACATCCGCTGGGAGGGTGTCTTCCGCTGCATCCCCATCTTTGGCATGTCCTTTGCCTGCCAGTCGTAAGTACTGCCCGCTCCCAGGGCCCCGCTTGTGAGTGTGTTACGAGGTGGGGCTATGATCCTGGGAGAGGGAAGCACTTGTTTTGTTCAGTGGTTGATCCAGGCCACGAGGAGTAATGTGTTCTTCACCGTGGCCTTCCTGCTTTGGGTTCAGAGTGGGAGTTAGATGTTTAGTGAGGGAGAAATCGACTTTATTCCCAAGTTGTGTTGCCGGCACTGTTGGTGAGAGCGCCGAGTTTGCCAAATCCCCCGCGAGTAGAGTTGGCTGTGGGGAACACAGAACAGCCCCAAACCATCTGACTCACAGAGTCCCGAGCATTTTGCCAGAATTTAGCTGTTCGTGTGAGAATACTTAAGAGGGAATTGCACAAACATTGACTTCAGACTGCCGCTGGGATGCTTTCAGAGGCCCGTGTGTGTATGTGCGCGTGCATGTGAGCAGGCGTGTGCTCTCTGGCACGCAGGGCTTTGTAAATGCAGAGCAGCTATTTCCTTAATTCCAGTAGCCTTATCTTCTCTACCAAATGACAGGAGCAGCCTGTGATTCATGCCCAGTCAGGTGGTAACCCGCTCAAAAGAGAGGCATAAATCCGGCGGGGATAGGAAGGGACCATCGGTGGCGGGGGGCTGGCAGAGCAGCCCCCCACAGCTCTATGGGCATCAACTGTGCCAGTCGTAAACTAATGTGACAGATGAGACTGTTCAGACTGCTGTGTTTACACCCACACGCGAGATCCAAATCGTGGTTTCCCACTTCTTGTCTCTCTTGGCAGCTTGGTTTCCACCAGAACACTCTCCACTCTTGCTGTTTAATGTCCCCGTTACAATCAGTGACAGAAGTTACATCCTTTTGCCATGTACCTAGTTACCGGTTGTCCTTTTTGTCTGAGTTTGCTTCTTTGAAAATAAACCCTGGTTGGGCTTTTGGTGGTGGCTGCTCTGTAGTCAGGCACGTCTGCTGGATTTGGTTCTCAGGTGGAGTTATGGGTTCCGGAGGGGTTGTGAGCACATGTCCCGTCTGCCGCTCACAGAGGGCGCGGGGCCTGCAGAGGCACTCACGTTCCCTGGGGAGTGGTGCTGAGGGGTCCAGAGCTGGGGGCATCCAAGGGCAGAGGCGGCTCTTCCCTCCCCTGCAAGTCCGCCCCAGAGCATGTGTGGGGCGGGGGCCCTGCTGCTCTGGCCGGGTGACCACGGGCCCGGCCGTGTGGCTGATCTCCCCGTCCTGGACGGGCCGGGCCTCCACTGTGCCATCACTGTGTGGCCCTTTCTGGTCTGACTTCGCCGTAAATGAGTACGTGGTGGTGCAGGACCACTTGGCCCTGCGGCCCAGAGAAGCTCAGAGAGAGCACTGAGCACGTGGAGGCCCAGGCTGTGCAGGGAGACAGGCGGACTCCTCTGACTCAGGTAAACTGAGTCACAGGGCTGCTCAGCGAGGTGGGCAAGTGCTCTGTGGGTGCTGGGTTGGCCCACCGCGGGGGTCTGGCTGCCACCATCAGGGGTCCTTGGGGCCCAGGCAGGATGGGAGCAAGGCGGGGACCGTGGTCGTTCCACACGCATCCATCCCCACGTTCAGGGCACAGCCCCCTCCCCTCAGTGTCAGCGGCTCTTGGGCAGGGACTTCTCCCTGTGTGTGCTGGGGGCTGGGGCGGGACGCCTTTATCCTGAGATCTGGTGCTGGGGCTCCCTGGCATGGACCCCACTCTGGCCCAAGGAGCTGGTCAGCACCCAGATGATGGTGCTAGTTCCCCTGCAGGTCCTCTGCCACCTCCCTGGGCTTCATGGGCGTGTGGCCACCCGCTGCCCTCTGCCAGGCCGAGGTGAGGACAGCTGTCTGCTGTGACCCCTGCCCACTGGGGGTAGCTGATGGGATGGTGTGCAGGGCCGGGGGACGGTGCCAGCTTCTGCCGGCCAGGCCTCCCCGATCCTCATCCTTGTCGATTGCTGTTAATAACGTTAGCGGGTCCTCTTTGTTCTCCTTTCACTTTTTTTAAGGCGGTTTTGGGATTTGGCTCCACTGACTATTGTGGTTTCATGTATGTCCTGACGCGCCCCCTCCTGGCCTCCCGCGTGGCGTGACCGCTGGCCCCGTCTCCCTTGGTGCTGAGCCTGAGCCTTCAGCATAGCGTCACCCTGCTTTCTCCTCTCAGGGCTGCACAGGAGCCCCCCGTCCCCCCCCACCCCGCCCCTTCCTGTTTGCCTCCGTGGGGCCCACGTCTCGCAGGTGCAGGGTCCCTGCCTGCTGTTTGCAGAGAGCCTGCACGGACGCATCCCTCCCAGGCCTGGCGGCACCGCCCTGCTGGCTGTGGGCCGTGGGACTGAAGCCACTCTTCCCGTCGCAGAGCTGGGTCCACGCCGGCTCTGAGCCCCTTGCTGAGGCGCTGAGATGGGCAGGCAGCCCGGCTTGTTTGTTTAACTTTCCATTCTTTTGACAGCG